GAAGAAAATTCCAGAAGAAGGCAAAATAAAACGATATTAACAACTGGTTTAAGCAACACGTCTCGTGTTCTAATAAACCTGTATTAAAGACAGAGTGAAAATAAAAAAAATAAAAAATAAAAGAACCGTAAATATCGGCGGCAGTCCAACGTTTGTGGGTCCGCAGAATAATTCACCCAAGAGCCTTGTTTAACACGCGAATATGCACCAAACTCCGAATCACAGTTAAAATAAAATCGAACGGCTGTTATTTATCAAAAGTTTTACACGCGCTATACTTACGCGTGATCTGTGCCCTTCTTCTTACAATAATATCTCAGTAGACCTCGCAGGATCTACTTCCTAAGCCAAGCAGTATAATAAGCAGAGCACTCAAAAAAAATCCAATCACTCCTGAAAATGCAACCGCCGCCGACGCAAAACGCGCCGTCGTTTATCCCTTAAGACAACATTCCACAAATCTCAGCAGAAACAGAAACTCCACGCGACGAGGACGTCGTTTTGAGCCATGAAGCCGGAAGACTCCGAGCCGACGACGCAATGGCACTACACGGTCCTCGACGACCGGAGCTTCCAAATCCGCGGCAAAACGCTCTTCTTCATCGTCGTGATCTTCTCCGCCCTCCTCGTCGTCACCCTCCTCCTCCTCTACGCCCGCTGGGCCTGCCGCTACCGCCACGTGGCCGCATCTCCGTACGCCTCTCAGCCGCAGACGGCGCCGCCAAATCCCCCGCCGCAGGGCCTCGACGCCGTCGCCATCAAGGGACTTCCCGTGATCTCTCACAAGTCGGCGCCGTCGTCGGATATGGCGGCGGAGTGTTCAATCTGTCTCGGAGTTTTCGAGGACGGAGAGAAGGTCAAGGTCTTGCCCGGGTGCTCCCATTGCTATCACCCCGAGTGCGTGGATCGGTGGCTCAGTGCGCAGCCGAGTTGCCCTCTGTGTCGCGCCTCACTCCGAGTTGATTCGCCCGTCTTGAAAGTTGTCGTAGAATGAATGAGGAGAGGGGACCCACATTGGAGATCAGCTTAATTATTCTCATCACATTATGAATGATGATAACTTTTT